AAAACTCTGCTCAGCCAACTGCCAAAGAAGTTGAGTGTTTGCCGCAAACTAAGGTTTTTAAATCCCTATGTCTTTGCAACCTCGTTTTGTTAACCTTTGATATTTCAAACTTAGATTATTTAATCTAACAGAATTAACAGTTTGAAATATTTTTTGTCTTCGGCATTGGGTTGCAAAAATTTTGGAATTCAAAAATCCAATATGATGCACACAGTATAAAAATAAAGATTATTAACGTAAGTTTGCTTTCTAATATCTGAAAAAATAATTGTTCAAACTGCGCAATCTTTAGAAAGGAAATAATTTGCGACAATAACCTTGAGCCCCGTTCATGTATTTCATTTTTCAAATTTATTTTTGAGTGGAGGACCTTACACGACCAACCATAACTAAATTAGTGAAACATCAACCCCACCCTGACTTCAGGTTAATTGTCCAGATACAGACAGTGTGTCCGTGCAGTACATTAACCGGATCATTAACTTCAAGTGCCCCCACCCAGAACTACTCTACACTATTATCTATTATATCTCTACTGCTAGTTATACTCAGCTAATAATCTAAATTATCTTTATAATGAAAATTCAGCATTATCTAACCAGGTTTATTGCGAGAACATTCCTCAAATATGTTTCATTCGATTCATTCATTCATTTTATAACACACAACATTCTATGCTTGATATGGTGCTAACCTCCTCCTGGTTTGCTATTAACCTCGTTAATACCAAACTTTCCTTTTATTTGTAGGAATTACGTTCTTAGAAAATTACCCCTTCTCCCCTCTTCTAAAACATTTTATAAAACCTAATATATTGTATCCTATCCTATTCTGTTCTTCCTAGATGCTAACAATAAGATCTGATATAGGAAAACAAATTCGAGTCCTGGCTTCAACTCTTGTACGTGTTACAGTAGCAATATTTGTGGCCATCTATCCTTCCCTTCAAGTCACTTCTATCCATCAACTCATTCTTCCTCCTTTAAACCTTGATTTAGTTCAGTCAAGGAACCTTTTCTTCTTATAAACCTTGATTTAGTTCAGTCTAGGAACCTTTTCTTCTTATAAACTTTGATGCAGTTCAGTCTAGGAAAGAGTTTAGCCTAGGAACCTTTTTTTCTTATAAACCTTGATTTAGTTCAGTTCCAGGAACTTTTTCTTCTTATAAACCTTGATTTAGTTCAGATCCAGGAACCTTTTCTTCTTATAAACCTTGATTTAGTTCAGATCAAGGAACCTTTTCTTTCTGTAAACCTTGATTTATTTCTGATCTATAGATCCTTCATTTTATTTTTAAAAAAGTTTGTTCATTCATTGTTTTCATCCTGACTTTTTTGTTTCCGACTAGGTGTATATAAAATACACGTCTCTTATCTAAACTCAGATTTAACTGATTAAAGATGGATGGATTAGCAAAAAAGGATAATGGGTCGTGAGCCAGATAAGATCGGGTTGGATCTAAATTATGACGGATCAATTAAATTTTCTATTGATTGATTGTATTTTTTATTCATTCATTCTTCCTCTTTTCAGTCATTATTTCATCCATTCATTCTTTCTTTTTTCAGTCATTATTTCATCCATCCTTTCTTGCTCTTTTCAGTCATTATTTCATCCTTTCATCCTTTCTTTTTCTGTCATTATTTCATCCATTCATTCTTTCTTTTTCAGACATTATTTCATCCATTATTTTCTCCTCTATACGTTCATAACTTCATCCATTCATTCTTTCTTTTTTCAGACATTATTTCATTCATTTATTTTTTTAATTCAGTATTTCATCATTGACTTAATTCATTCTTAATTTTTCATTTATTATTTTTTTCTTTCATTATTTCAATCATATCCTTCCTCACATGCTAAATAAATTAATCCTTCCCTTATTTCACCCTTTTGTTAATCCAACCTTTCTTTTTTAATTTTTTAATATTTTCATTTTATCATATTTTCTACTTCAGACTTTCTTACATTTTTTATAATTCCTTTTTTTATAAATTAATATGATACATGATGAGATATTGAATTTTCAGTAAATGTTTTGTTTACCGAATCACGCGGATTTAACGGTTCTGTCCATCGAGATATTAGTAAAAGAGGGGGCATCTGGAATTTTAGACTTCTTGTTGTACAGCCACTGTACACAATGACCCGATCAGAAATTCTACCTGGGGGACCAATTCGAGACTTTATTTTCTAGGACTTTTTTTCTGGCTCCAGTATGATTTTATTCAAAAAAGTCCTCTAACAAGTTAAAATGCATGATTCACAATTCTAGGTTTTTCTTTTCCTCGGATTTATTTTCTTCACGACTTTTTTTCCTGGTATCTTATTTTATGAGATCCAAAACACCGGACTTTATTTCCACTGACAATTTTTCCAAGGACTTGATAAAATTCGGACTTTTTCCAAAGTTTTTATTTCCAGCTGTTTTTTTTTCGGAAACTTTTTTTCCCGGGACTTTCCTACATAGATTCAATTTGACCCTCCCCCCTCTAAATCCCATTTTTGATGTATAAATATGACAAATGATACATCGTTGTTTACACAATTTTTGACACTACAATATCTCATTGTTGAAAAATATTAAAATTAACTGTCCACTCAATACCGTTCAAATAGATGTACTTAGGATTAAACCCACTGTACTCTATGATACCAACTTAGTCATAAGGAAACATTTTTCGACAAATTTCACTGTACAGTATAAACCTAGCCAGGCAAAATTAGGAGAGTTATGCCCGCCCCCTGGTTCTGTCAATATTCCAGAAAGCTGTGACTTTCGATCACAATTTGACCCATTAAACATAATTTTTTACCCTTTTTGTCCTGGATACTTTTTTGTCGGCATATGCAATTTGAATAAAAAAGTTTAGAATAAACAAATCTGTAAGGTAAAAGATTGTTGAATTATAAACCAAAACACGTTTGATTTCAAATAGAAGAAACCAAATGCTGCTCACTCTGGTTAGTCCGGGGTGGGATAAAGGAACTAAGTTCTTGCCTCAAACTCTGTTTTTCTATTTCTTCTTACTTTGCAACCCGATGTCGTAGACTTTTGATGTGTCAAACTAAGAATTCTGTTAGATCAAATAATCTAAGTTTTAAATATCAAAGGTACCATCAGGTTGCAAAGATACAGGAATTCAAAAATTTGAGTTTGTGGCAAAAACTCAGTTTCTTTTAGATAGAAACACGAATGATATACCTTAGGTCAGCTGTAAAAATAAGTTCCTAATCTTGATTCTCTAACTGCCGTCTATCAGATGTTTCAAGAAAATCGTTGACTTGAAAACAGTTAAATCTTGTGTCCGCAGTTCTAGATAATCAATTATATCTAATCTGAGAAAAGTGTCAAAACCCCATCCTATGATCCACTTTAACCCTAATTAACAAGATTTGAATATTAAAAAAGAATTCGATGGGAAGCTGTTTTTAATGAATTTTGAATTTAATAGTTGAATTGTGGTTCCTTATCTCTAGAAGCCAAAAAGGGAACGGAGCAAATAATTAAAATATATTTTATTAATCTTTGATTTTGATACTAAAATATTTTTTAATGAATGAGTGAAAAAGTGAAAGAATGTGTAGATAGATGAATAAAAGAAGATTATTAACGGCTGAATATAGAATGGTAGATAGGAGAGTAAGCATCTATAAATATCATTCTTGCTTTGTAATAACTGAACTAATCAAACTCAGGGAAATATGTTTTTTTATTAAATTTTTTTTTTATAATTTCCAATGAATAGTTTTTTTCTGGTAATTTTCTCGAATTTTTAAATGTGAAGTATATTTTGCCTATATTATGGGGAGCAAAATGTTTGATAAAAACTGATTTGTGAGTGAAGGTGCAGGGTTTAGTCCTACACTGTTTCTTGTTTATAATATGGGTAAATGATCAATCATGGTACAACAATGGACCAGATGGAGACTCAAATATATAGATTAGGAAACTAACTCAAAACTCAAGTCATGTATTGAAATATGGGGACTCTGTTTTCCTTATATTGTCGATACCCTGTTTTTATACTAAAGCGGGAGTTTCAATATTTTACGGATTTCTTTTAAAGAAATTCATTTTTTCCACACTCTTTGATCTTCTTTTTCATTTTCTGCAGTTTTCTATATAATCATTATATTTCATGGGAAAACAAGTTATGATAAATTGAATAAACGAATACTTGAAATTAATGCTTTGAACCCAACTTCAGACCATTTGCATTTGCACGTAAAGAGTTATTCAATGATTTTTAATTTATCAAGCCATACAATTAGATTAAAAAGTGAAAACCAACTGATGAAGCCAGAATGATAGGGGCTCAAAGCAAGTTTCGCACAAACACGGAGCTCGTTCAGCAGGCTCGGTGGTTATTCTGCTAAGCTAATCCTGAGGATTATGAACCATTAATGGACTAATGGCGGCCCTGCACCCTTATCTTATCCTGCAATAATTATATAAATTTTCAATTCAATAAGTGTACAGTGGGAGAAGCGTACATTTTATTTATACACTGCTATACATATATGTATATATATCATGTAATGTATATTGTAAAGTGTGAAAGGAAGAACCAGTAGAAAATAAATGATGCATGACCTATTCGTACTGACCAGGATGAAGTCAAGAAAGTAAAGAATGAACTCACGTAAAGCATTTTTACGATACAGAGGGGGGGGGGGGATTTCAATATAATAAACATAAAGTTTGCAGAAATTTCTAATATTGGGTAGTTTTTCTATCGTTGGTTAGTTTTTCTATTGTTGGTTAGTTTTATATTTAAGTCAAACCTTCGAATTACATTATGCATCAAGTCGATTTCTTCATTTTATTTCTTGGCTACACTCCCTAGAAACTAGGTGTGTACAGACAGGCAGGGCTTAATATTCGTCGTATTTTTTAATCTTTCTCGTAACATGAAATCATTTTTACAATTTTTGTCATCCGTTTAAGGAATTTTCAACAAAAAAATAGTATTGTTATATTTTTAAGCAGTGTTCTTGGTTCTCTCTAACTGCAGTTGAATCTTAGAGATAAGTACAATCAGCTGATGTTTCATCTTCAACAGTAATGCGCGAAAGAAAACAGTAAAATACGTCAAAAATGTGTTGTTGTTGCTGTTGCTGCAGTGATTTTCTTGGAGAAAAGATGGAAAGTTGCATCATTTCATTTCTAGAAAAAAGGTGCGTTATTAATAATAGATAGTTGAATTCTATATAACATGTTATTTGGACGATATCGATCAATATTATTGAAATAAGTTTTGGATATGTTTTAAAGTCGTTATAAGTTTAAGCCGAGCCAAATTTAGACACAATTTTAAATAGAGTGCTTGACAAAAAAACTACATATTGTAATATGCATTGTTACATTGTAATATTTCTAAATAACTAAATTACTACAATAAAAGGAAACATTAAATATTATATTGTAGAGGAAGACATCCTCGAACGAGAACTATGAAATCCGCAAATGAGTAGTATCGGATCCTGGAACCAGAGAAGACCAGGGAGTAAGGAATAGAAGGTATATACAACTGTAGCGGTTCGCCCTACCATAAGATTATACATGCTTTGCAGACGGGTACTCCATTTGTATAAGAAATATTCAGAATAGGTTATTATATACGCGGTAATTGTACATCAGACAAATATTTCTTATTCAAATGAAGTACCGCCTGCAAAGCATGTATATAATCATATGGTAGGGCGAACCGCGTCAGTTATATCTCCCTTCTATTTCTTACTCCCTGAAGAAGACCTACTCAACTTCTTCTTTCGTACATTCGTTAATTATCATGCATTTGTGTAACTCGTGATTTCTTCCCCCCAGTGTTGTATAATTTGTTTGTATAAAGTTTGCAGTAAAATTAGTGTTTAGGTATCCTGGACTAGGGCTTAGAGAGATAGTTAGACTTCTACAGCTAGTCAGGCATCAGCAAAACAAGATGTTATTCCAATAGATTTTTTTAATAATCATTTACCACCACGTTATTATTTTTGCAATTTGATTTTTTTAAATATGAATGTTTATTTTGATTGAACAACAAACTGTTGTTTATAAAAACATTAAAGTTTTTGGTCCAGGGTGTATACAGGGTTAACAAATTTTTCTGCAAAATAAAATGACTTGAAAATAAGAAGAAAACAAAATTTTAATTTTGAACATTTTTTGGACATTTTTTCTTTCTAAACTTAAATTTTTTTGTTTTGATGATTCTAATGCAGTGAAAAAATAGAAGAGCACTCACACAATCTAAATATTGAAGAAAAGAAAGACGAGACTGATTTAAAAAGGAAATCTATATTTAATTATTTTATATTCATTTAAATTAATTTTTATATTCATTTGAATTAATTTTATATTCATTTATATATTTATATTGATATTCATTTATTTTGATTTCGGTCGCGTTCGCGTATTAAGGTTTAAATTCTGTAGAAGTAATTAGTAATTTAGTGATTGGGTTTTCCTATCTCTTGATTTATAAGATTTATTTGTTTTGAGTTCTCATCATATTTTTTTATCTGTTTGACTATCGATTCTTTTCAGTCTTTGAATATCAATTAAATAACTTGGGAGATTTTGTTATTTGTTATAACTTAGAATATCAATTAAATAACTCGGAAGATTTTGTTATTTGTATCTGTTTTAACGGAGGTTGGGTCTTAATGTGAAGTATTTGAGATCTTAAACGCTTGAACTCGATATCCAATGTGGGCAGTTGTGCAGTACAAAATTCTTAGCGGTATTTCTTATCAAAAGAATTGTAAAGATGATTTAGCTTTTTATTATTCATTACAGTACAGACAATTTTACATCATGTTTGTTAATTATCTGTAAAAATGTTTTATATTTCTTTAAATTTTCATCAACTGGCCTTAAGAATATTTTTTGAATATAAATATCTTGATTCAGAAATGAGATTGAGATTAACCAAGGATTATAGAATTAACTTATTACAAATTATTCAATTCTAACAAAACTGGAGGATAAGAGGGAAATATTGTAAAGCAGATTATAGCAAAAATCAAAATTAAGTCTAAAAAATCAAATATTTAAATCATAAGATTACAATGGTAAGGAGTGAAAATTTGATATGAGATCAGAGTTCAGTTTTTGTATAACTTTTCATCATTATTAACTTTGCTGCCTGAGCAAAATTGGGATATATTTTATTAAAACGGATTCGATGATGATTTCATTGATCTTTTCTAATTACTGCAGTAACGCCTTAAAAATACAAGAACGATTTCTGAAATGTATACTATCTCGTAAAAAAATAGAAAATTCAACTTTAATTCTATAAGATGATGGAAAATGGAGACCTGTTCTTCTTACACTTGGACTCATGTACAAACTCCAGGTTTCATAATAGAATATAGAATGAAAATACTTTATAATATTCCTTACAAATATTATGACTTGACATATTTTTATGTATTATTTATTAACGAGTTTTTCAATCATTTCAATTTTGGATTTTTTTTATAAGCACCTCCCACTTTCCAATAGTACCAAAAAATTTACAAGACATAAATTCTATTTTAGACTGGATTTTAATTTTTTTTATAAGAATTCTAAAGAGTTATAACAGCCTTAGAAAAATGCTTTTTTAGTTATGTCCAAAAACGTTGCGGAGAGGGGGTAGGAAATTATCCAGTTATATATTCTGTGTTTGAGTATTATTCTATCAGCAAATGCTGGATGATTCCTGGTTTGATACTGATCAGGTCTTTGTTAAAGAAGAGGAGAAACGTGACAAACTAATCAATGTTTTCGGATTCTACTGGAACTATTTGTTTAAAGTACGAATTTGGTATCAATTAAAAATGAATATTAAATGTTTTTAAAGTTAGTAAACATCTATTCTATTCTAGATATCCTGGGTGCTGGCTACTCATGAGAAATCAGTTGAAGAACATCAGACCAAAATTCTAGAATCTGTAAATTCTAACGAGGTATGTACATTGTAAATTTTAGCTAGAACTTATTTTGTTTTGCTTCTTTTTGTAATATAAACTTTTATTGTTGAAAGGAACTCTCGACTTAATTTTAAGTAACCCAGAATTCTCATATTTATCTCATTTTAAGCAAAAAATATTGATATTTATTGTTTTCTATCTAAAAATTGATAATTTTTAATTGCGGTCATTCTATATAGTAACAAAGATATCTTCCTCATGTTACGCAGATGACAGTTTAAACCGTTGAAAATCGAGCTGCATATAATTCTTTTGAAATTGCGTGGAAAGTCCCTTTAAGATTGGGCTCCCATACCCTGTTATTTATTAGATAGAGATGGTTTTATTCCATGTGAAGGATGCAACAACCCTTGAAGATCAAGCTCCAGATACAGCTCTGATCATTCATCATGATAGGTAAACTATTCAATATTATATCTTATTTACAGATTTTATTTTATTTGTTTCCAGGCAGAAAATAGTTTTCATTTTATTTGTTTTTAGGTTGGGAAATTGTTTAAATTATATTTGTTTTCAGGCAGGAAATTGTTTTCATTTTATCATGATTTTAGGCAGGAAATAGTTTTTATTTTATTTGTTTTAGGCAGGAAATAGTTTTCATTATATTTGTTTTCAGGCAGGAAATTGTTTTTCATTTTTGTTTTGTTTTCAAACAGGAAAAAGTTTTGATTTTATTTGTTTTCTGGCAGGAAATAGTTTTCATTTTATTTGTTTTTAGGCAGGAAATAGTTTTGACCATCTGCGGAACCAAGGTTAGTACATGTAATGTATACACAATTGCCTACTAACAATTACAAACTGGAAAATGGGGACTTCAAAGCCGACCAATTTTACTGGTCTTCAGAAGTTCCCAGTATTTATAGGAAATATAGAAAATTTAGGATAAATAGGAAATAAAGGAAATAAAGGAAATAAAGGAGATATAGGAAATATAGGAAATAAAACTAGATACAGCCTCAATTTATTCATGCAATATATGTTATGATTTTATGAGGGCCTTAAGTTCTTCTTTGCATTTCTATATTCTAACTATATCCAGAAAATAATACTAACTATTATTTTTTAACAAAGCGTTATTGATTTTTCATTGTTTGTACTAATTTCTTACAAAATGTTTTTACTGAGATTAAAACATTTCACACATACTGTGTATGTAAAAGGATTTAGTTTTAAAAAGATTTCTTTACGTTTTAGATAACCCCTGCTCCCAGTATGGGTGATATTATGCTTGATCTTCATTGTGATTCTATAGAATATCTTGAAGGTTAGTTTATACAATATATTTGGACTCATACGCAAGTACTAGCCTGGGAACCCAACTAAATTCTAACTTGGTCTAAAAAAAACTCAACCCAATTGATTTGGAACTTTTAAATCAAACTAAATATATTTCAGTGATTTTACCTAGTTTGCCAATTAAAATTTTGGGATAATTGGTCTAGGAATTCAAGAAACAAGCAAACAGACAAATAGAGATATTACTTTATATGAAGAAGATATTTTTAATTTCTACTTAGAATTAATAGCCTGGAATCTTTCTAGATTATATATTTAAAATGTTTGAAAAGTATATATTCTGAGGTAAATAATAAAATAAATAATGCAAGATTGCAAAAACAATTAATTTCAGGAAAAGCCCACGAAGGAATAGCTATAGCTGCTGAAAATGTTTTGAAAATATTTCAAGAGGATCTGATAAACACAGCAAGGTGACAAATGCCATCATTGCCAGATTTCACATATGTTTACTTTTATCAAAAATATCTAATTAGTAATAAACAGATTGTTTTTTACTTTAACTCCGTCAAGGTGGAGGTAAATGTACTGCGCTTGTACAAATTCGTATTTTGCATATAAATTGTTTATGTATATATACAAAGATGTAATGCAAAGAAAGTTATTTCAAAAGTGTACTTATCTTTTGTACTGCAGTGTATTGTCTTTGGGCGGAAAAGTAAACACAAGACGGATGTTACAGCCTGACATGGGATCCATCTTTCACATAAAAAATCAATGAAATATTCTGGTCATAGAAAACTATTATGTGAATAATCAAAATTTTCAAATTTAATGCTTTTAACCTCCTGGGATACTAAATGAACATTGATGCATCTATTCTTGTTTACAAATTCCGCCCAGAGAGAACTGGTTTCAATATGTACGCAGAGTATACACGACCACAATTAACTTTCCTTGCATTACACCCTTGTATATATATATTTACATTTAAAGGGTGTGTAGGCATAATTTAAGTGACCCTCCATTTTTTAAGCGACCTTTGAAAGCTTTGTTTTATCCTGTATGAATAAGATATTCATGGTTATAATTCTGAAAATGGTTTATGTATTCTCTATAAAATTTACTTGTGCATATCTGCTGCACGAAGAAAAGCAACGTTTTCTTCCGCATTATTTATTAGATAATGGTTTCAATGGCACTGTTGTGAATCAGCTATGTCACTGTTTTAAATGAAGAGTCATTAAAAATTACAAGAACAGTCCCTTTAATAACTGTTGTAGAATGTATCCTGGTTACAGTTTAATCATCATTGGATACAGTCTAGGTGCTGGAGTATCTCATCTTGTATCAATCAACCTACTCCAGGTATTCATAATCAGGTTTATTTCAGGTACAGCTTTAGTCTCATTAGATAATCTTACTTTTAAATCCAGATTCTGGTAGTTTATACCTTGATAAAACCTAATCTCAGCTTTAGTCTGTATGTAAATATCGGATATGGATTTTATAAAACCTAATCTCAGGTTTAGTCTGTATTTAAATATTGGATATGGATTTTATAAAACCTAATCTCAGCTTTAGTCTGTATGTAAATATTGGATATGGATTTTATAAAACCTAATCTCAGGTTTAGTCTGTATGTAAATATTGGATATGAATGTCATGTAACCTGTCTCCATATAGGGTTATGTATTTTATACTTGCCCGTGGAATAAAGGAAGAGTTAAAAAAAAATTTTCTTTTAACCTATGTCCCCCCAGGCTACCCAAAGTGTTCACAAAAAATGTCAGCCCATTCGGTCCAGCTGTTTGGCCGGCTATAGGGAACATGTATACGAATGTCTTGTTTTATTATTTAGATATATAATCACTCTGTATAGTTTTTTTTTTGTTGAGATTTATTTGTATTCCAATTATAACTAACATGTAACCGGTGTAATTAGTAAACATGTATTTAAATTCTAGTAGATATGAACAATATGAATAAATATTATTATTATATTTAGAACAACCTACTTCCAAGCAGTGTTAAACTTTACTGTATAGCATACGGTGCACCTCCAGTGTATAGGTACAAAATTATTATAAAGATTTGAAACCAATAACAGGAGATCACACAACGTGAGGAGGACGACTCCGAGTCAAATAATATTGTATGATATTTACATAGTTTATCAACCATATTTGACAATTGATCAGCATTGTATTGAAATCAAAAGACATTAAGGACAAAAATATTCATCAATTAGAACAGAATTCATTTTAAGTTGTTTTCCTTTTCCATTCGTTTAAATAGAATAATTTAGGTCTTCTAATATATCCTATTCTCATCCAAACATATTCAATGTTTTACACAATACTGATGGTCTTCCTACCTTATCATTACATAATGTAACAAAGGTGATTGTATAATTAAAAAAATTAAAAAAGATAAAGGTTATTGGATGTTTAGGACTATAAAAGAATAAGAATACAATTACAAATTACAGGGTCTCTTGATTTAGTTTTTTTCAATATTTTTGGCAATATTTTGTTTTGAATCCAACTCTTCTATTTAAAATGTTTTTGATTATTCTTTTGTTCTAGTCTAAATGGGTACATACTACATATAATCTATATTTGATTGTTCTAGCTATTCCTTCAAATTCGAGCAATTGACAAACTCAAGTTGAAACGAAGAAAAATACTCTCTCTTCTCAGGTAACAATAGAAACTCCTCCTTCTAGTTTGTTTAAACCCTTTCAACTTTTCAATTCTTACTATGTTTCAACCACTGCGACTTTGCTTCAACCCTTTCAACATTGTTTCAACCACTGCGACTTTGCTTCAACCCTTTCAACATTGGTTCAACCATTGTGACTTTGCTTCAACCCTTTCAACATTGTTTCAAATCTTTAAACTTTGTTTTACCCCTTTTCAACAGTGTGCCAACCCTTGCAACTTTGATTCAACTCTTTCAACTTTGTTTCAACCATTGCGACTTTGCTTCAACCCTTTAACATTGTTTCAACCATTGTGACTTTGCTTCAACCCTTTTAACATAGTTTCAACCATTGTGACTTTAAGAGCCGAATGGGTTGATATTATCAGCATCTTGGATACAGTTAGGTAATTGTTTTATTTTGAAATACTTTGCTTAAGTGTGCAGTTAAAGAGCTTTAAAAAAAGGAAATCTCGGATTATAACATGGAACATGTGACAACATTTTAAATAGTGGATATTTTTCTGAAAACCTATATACTTAGGCCAGGATACTTTAAACCGGCTGATTCATATATCTAAAAACAATTTTTTTTAGTTGCAACAACACTTGTTCGCGAACATCATTTTCTGCACCAAAAAAAAACATATTATCTACCATCGCCTCCCCCCCCCTCCCCCACCTCTTTTTAAGACTAGCTTAGAAACATGTGTGCTTCAATTCCATAATTTACCTGAAGTGTCTGGCCCAAGGTTGTATATATGGTTAGCTATACTCTGGATGTGCTTCAATGTAGGTAATAACGACTTTTATAGCAGTGGACACTTTAATACCTAATATTTAGCAAACATCGATTGTGCTAACAAGCTTGAAGCTAAAGTATGCAATTATAATTCAAGTTTTCAATTTTTGGGTTCGTTTATATTTAGTGAGCCGCAAAATGTATTATTCTTTAAAATAATTAGTGTCCATTGCTATAAAAGTCGTCTTTACCTACATCGGAGCACATCCTTAGTATCTAACCTTATTAAACAACCTTGGTCTGGCCAGTGGCCATGTATCATTAATAAAGATATTTCAGGAAAACAGGGTTTGATGAGCTGGATCTTGTTGGAGGAAACCTGTTTATCTTGGAGAGATCAAACAAACATCTTTCTATTCGGCATCTCAGGTAAACTGTTATACAGGGGTTTTCATGAAAGGTTAATACACAATTGTACGAGTTAGCAGTATTATCTTTAAACCCATTTTAAGCTTATAACTTTATATTAGACTGGAAACACAATATCTGTTTGAGTTTATATTCAAGATCAATTTTATTTTCCTCAGAGGTGTTGAGGAATCCAGAAATCTTACTTCAAGTCTTAAACTCAGAGTAAATACATTCAACCATCATATGCCATGGGGATACTCCTCCTTATTCAAGAATACAAATACACAGGTAGACTGGTAGACAGTTAACACGTAGACTGGTAGACAGTTCATACGTAGACTGGTAGACAGTTAACACGTAGACTGGTAGACAGGAGGATGGGTAGACAGGTAGACAGGTATACACGTAGACTAGTAGACAGGAGGATGGGTAGACAGGTAGACAGGTATACACGTAGAATGGTAGACACGTAGACTGGTAGACACGTAGACTGGTAGACACGTACACAAGTCGAAATGTAGACAGGTAGAAAGGTAGACAGGTGGACAAGTAGACAGGTAGACAAGTAGACAGGTAGACAAGTAGACAGGTAGACAAGTAGACAAGTAGACAGGTAGACAGGTAGACAAGTAGACAGGTATACAAGTAGACAGGTAGACAAGTAGACAGGTAGAAAAGTAGACAGGTAGACAATTAGATATGTAGACAAGTAGACAGGTAGACAAGTAGACAGGTAGACAAGTAGACAGATAGACAAGTAGACAGGTAGACAAGTAGACAGGTAGACAAGTAGATTGGTAGACAAGTAGACAGGTAGACAAGTAGACAGGTAGACAAGTAGATATGTAGATAGGAAGACAGGAAGACAAGAAGACGGGAAGACTGGTAAACAGGTAGACAGATAGATATATAGATAGGTAGACAGGTAGACAGGTTGAGGGTTAGATGGTTAGACGGTTAGTTAGTTAGACGGTTAGACGGTTAGATGGTTAGATGGTTAGAGGGTTTGATGGTTAGACTGGCAGACAGGCAGACAGGCAGACAGGTAGACAGGTAAACAGGTAGACAGGTAGACAGGTAGACAGGTAGACAGGTAAACAGGTAGAAAAATTGTTATGCAGATAGTCAGAAAGATGGATAGACTAAAAGGCAGAAAGACAGCGAGACAAAAGGCAGAAAAGCAGAGAGACAATAGGCTAAAGGCATATATGCAGAAAAATAAATATACGCAGAAATATTGATTAGTAAACAACCGCAAAGGCACACTTAGTAGGCCCCATTTTTATCAGAATAAATGATTATATGGTTTATTTTTCAGGACAGAGAATTAGAAATACTGGATTCATATATAAACAATGAATAACTATGCTTGTTGGGAATATTCTAAATAATGTATGAACAGAATATGAATCTCTGTTATCTGTAAATATCACATGTAATGTTTATAATTATTCACATCTTACAGATGTTTTTTTTTGAGTTTTTGATGAAAAGTTAACATATTTTGGGTTTCCACAAACAACGAGATTTTAATGACGACCTTAAACACATTAGTAGTCGGTCTTTTACATTAAATATAAGGTTGCGGTGAACTGGGAATCAAAAAAGAAAGCTTATTAATTCTTTACGGTCGTGTCAGAAATCTTGTTCTCTGTGGCCAGCTCTCAGATCTTTAAAGTAAACCAAATCTTTAAATCTCTCGTTTAATGAATTAATATAGCTTTAAATTGTTTGTAAAATTTAATTACGTAAAACAAGTGCGGTATTATTTGTGCATTTAATGTTGTGAATCAATAAGTTTATATATGTATTTTTTAATGAATTTGTAACAGTGTTGTCGTCTATAGCTCTAGATATTGCATAGTAAAAATATTTAAAATCCTCTGTATGTGAAATATAGTTGGATAATCTAGGCTAGATTCATTATCATCTATTGTATGCCACACTGATGGAAATGGATTCGCAATTAAATGCAGAATTCGTCTAAAGTAGAATAAATAAATTTATTTGATTTGTTAAGAATACTGAAGTGTGTGTTGTACCTGACTCCTAGTTTAAAGAATGGTAGATGATCATCTTCTATACCACTACTCACAGATTTATCACCTTTCATCACAGGACTAACATCACAACCCGACACCTTCGGAAACATTTCATTAAAAAAAAACTTGAATTCAAAACATTTTCACCTTGAAACTATATTTTTTTCACATGACCCCAGGTTAAATTCTTTGCCGGTCGAAATTTAAAATAATGTTCTTTTTTACAAAACATTTTGTAAATACCAAATGAAGACAGGAAAATACAATTTATTATTAGTTTAATTCTCACCAATAATACTTTCTCCTCAACCGCCTCCATCCAGTTAAAAAGATCTTCTTCAAAATCAGCATATTTTCTAAAAACTGACAATTTAGGAAGCTATCTTTGTGACAATACATTTCTTCAAAACATGTTGAATGTGAATAAAAGGATTGTATCTATGGGATTTACGCAGAACCTCTGAATCAAGAAAGATACAACTATACCTTGTACATATTACCTTGCTTGATATACCAATTACCTACTTTATATCCAAAATTTCTTGCATTTTTTCTCTACATTTTAAAGTGCAAAGGAAAACCTTTCATGAATCTATCTTTAAAAGTTTAGAACACATGTTAATGTATTTCAATGGATAATTAATTAATTAATTAATTAATTAATAATTAATGGCCGGATAATTAATTAAAAGTACTTACAAAAATCTTGGATTTTTTGTACCAATAAGATCAAGAAGAACAAAACTGTCGATACGATCCAATTCTACAGCTGATCCGGCCTGAAAAACAGCATTGAACTTAGTGTTGAATAAATAAATACAGTTTATTAGGATAAAAATCCGAGGATTATATATAAAACAAGATATACTATATCCAAATTGTACTAACTAGGATATCTTCTGCAATCTGAGCTCAGGTCGAAACTTTTGTACAGTTAATTACTAATCACTAGAAATCACTACTCCTTAACATGCACTGTCCAACAATAAAGTCTTGTAAATAGTTTTGGTTCGTTAATATATTTTCTCTAACGGTCACAATTTGGCAAAGTATAAAAAGTAAATGTTTGCTTAAATAGTTCATTTTGCTTTAACTTACACTATGCCAAATTTCCCTGACGGAAAATATAAGGAAAATAACGATAAAAAAAACAAAGATGATAAAATGATAGTTTTGGTTAGTTTTACCACTATTTTATGATAAACATATTTCATCGTTTAATAAAAAAAAACTTTAACAGAATAAAGTTTTGAAATGTTTTAAAGTTTTTAAAAAACAAACCGAAAGAAACAAACCTAGCGGCACCTAATTGCTATGAAAAGTTTTCAATGTAGAAATCGAGTTCAGAACTTGTAAAGTTGTAGATAGATAAAGAAATGTTCTGACCTCTGTAAACTTACTTGGGGGCTGCAGGCAGGAGCCTTGAAATAGAATACCTGACAGTATCCTAGTTTAGAATCTACAGTATACGGTTCAGAGTTCCATTTTGAAGCTAGATTTCTAGATCCGTACAGGGAGTCAGTACCTTCACAATCACAATTATTGAGCAAAGGAATTGAGTCTTTGTCACAAACTATGATTTTTTAATCTCTATATCTTCGTAATCTAATGCCGTGGATCTTAGATATTTCAAACTATGAATTCTTTCAGATAAAAAAAATCTAAGTTTGAAATATCAGAGGTTTACACCATCAGGTGGAAAAAATATACGTATTTGCAAATCAGAGTTTGATACAAAGACTAAATTCCTTTGAATATACTTTTTCACCGATATTAACATCTAGGAAGTACATAATATTTTTTTTAATTTGGTAATTCTTATGATTATCTGTCAAATATACTGTTTAAACAGCTTTAATTAATGTTATAGCTCAGTTATATTCAGGATGGTAAATTATTAAAATGAATTTATAATTAATTAATATATATAAGGGACACAACTCTTCTTCTATTGTTATAAATTGTTACTAACACAATCATTGTTACTCCTGCCGTTTACCCGCACTTGGTATTAAATCTTGACTTTTGCCCAGAGTAGCCAAAGGATTTTCAAAAATTTGAAAAATTTGTTAATCCTATGTCACCCCCAGGAATCCTTTAAAAAATCAACCAATTTGATTCAGCGGTTTGTCCAGCTTTAACTAACATATATATTAAAATGTAGGAGAGCAAAGCGCTTTATTATATATAAATAATTACTTGTCCATGAGACGTATGCCTCTTCTCCATCAAAGAAAATCAGCTGAACTGTTAACTCAGGTGTTCCCTGTACAGTGTACAATATATATTAATACAACTGTGCTCCTTGTGGTTGTGGACAATAGGTAATTTTCCGGAATTTTTACCTACTCCTTTTTGTACGAGTTCTAAAGTCAAGTAGAAATTTTTTTTTCCAATGTAAACCGATAACGATCATGAATAAATCACAGTAAAAACATAAAAAATGTTTTTATTATTGTATAAGGACAAGCTCAGCTCGATTGTTTTAAATTTTCCCAATCGATTCTTACATCGTTTGGATGCTGTACATATTTAAAAATATACACAAAACTACAAGAAAGAGATAAAAGTCAGTTGTTTGCTTCAAAACAAAGAAAAAACCTGAACCTAGAACTCGGAAAAGAAACTGAGTATTTGCCACAAACTTAGACTTTCCAATCCCTTCATTGCTGGAACATGATGTCGTAACCTTTGACATTTCAAGCTATGAATTCTGTTAGATCAAATAAACTAAGTTTTAAATAACAAAAGTATAAGGATTAGAAAGTTTGGTTTGAAGTAACAGCTCGGTCCCTTTAGAGTAAACAGTTAAACAATTCTCTCACAATTAAAATAAACATTTTAGAGCTCTAGAAGTTACAATAAACAAAAGTTCAAATATTGCCAATTATATAAAAGACGACTTCTTATTTCAATTTCTGTATATATTTTATAAAAAAATTATGACACTGGCCTTTAAAAACTAGCTCACCTCTATTTTTTTAAAATAAGGATCTAAATCCAATGCAAGTCCTAAAATAGAATAATAAAAGGCTAAAAAAAATAGTTTTCAGTACCAATAAAGGAATTGAGTCTTTGCCATAAACTCTGATTTTCTAATTCCAATATCTTTGCAACCCAATGTTGTAGACCTTAGATATTTCTAACTATGTGACCTTCCATTACAATTAATGTCTTGTATTTATAATATATATTACGGAGTTGTCCCGAAGGTTGTGAAAGCAAGAAACATGAAGGCAATGGTAGAAAAGTATTTGAAAATGCTATTCAATCATAATGCTAAATTTATATATATATATATATACACGCACCTCTGATCCTTTAGTAAAAGTAAATTCTACCTAAAGTCTGACTGGATCAACCTTGTTGCACTGGAGAGTCCTATTGATCGAGTGTCTGTTTTATCCTATGTCCGGACAATACAGTACAACTAGGTCCAGAAAGGTTGACCCGACTCGGAAATTCAAATGTACTAGAGCTGTCCATGTTTAGCCCTATTCATTAACATAAACATTAATGTTTCTTGCTTTATACAATCTATATATATTATCTAGCTTGGGATCCCAGATTTGCCTGGAACTAATTTTTCAAATAAAAGTTAACACACTCAACTGTTGATCTTCAATATATATATACACATTCTTAGTCTAATATTTCTGCAATCAGATATTGTAACACTTAGGTAATTTGTTCTAACATAATTCATAGTTAAAGTATCTAAGGTCTACGACATTGGAAAATCAGAGTTTGTGGCAATGTCTCAATTTACTTTATTCACAATTTATGCTTACCAAGAAGCATAGCACAAGGAACAGCAGAATCTGTGGCTCCAAGAAATCCTTCAGGAGTCAGCTTAGAATCATAATGGGCTGCTAGCACCAATCTCCTGTTTTTTTTTAAAACAATACATATACAAAGTGGAATTGATAAAAACTACAGGAAATGACAAATAATACGATGAACACAAAGTATTTAGCACTTCTGGAGAAGTTTGCAGATATAAAATAGACTACTAAATTCTCTTTTTGAAAATTACATTACAAACCGAATTGCTATTCATGTAAAACTAATTAGATATGATTTTATATGCTTTAATATTTGTTGTGTACATGTCAGAAAATTACTTTAAAGTCTAGTTATTCTAATTAATGTATAAACGATTTTGCATAAGATAAAAATGCACCCTGATCTCTAATAGTTCTCCTTTAATCTATTTAATTGAAATGTGTTGTTATCATTGTTGAAATTAGGTGGAAAAAATAATCAAAACAGCCAAGAGCTATTTTCCACCTAATTGCTTTATACTGTTAATATAATCATCAATTTGTAATTGTAAACTCGTTCTGTACACAGATACATGTATTTTAGCAATAAACTTATCTTATCTTATCTTATCTAAATTGTAAGTAGCGGTAATATCTAAACAGATGATGGTAGGTCGCAATAAATATTAAAATAGTTTTTAAATTTTTATTTTTTATGATTCTTAACAGCAAAGTGATACCTGGGACTTCTAGGATTGTACGTAGCAATAATATTAACAAACGTTCTTTCGCCTTCACATATCTTACGTCAAAATCAAAAATTCAAAATGAAAGTGGTGTAAAAATGTTTTGGTAAAACTAATTTTTAAAATATAAACCGATATATTAGTATTGTCATGATATGTGGACCAAAATTAAAAGTAATCTGTTTAAATATTTAATGGTCGTTGTCCTATTGACTTTTCATTAATTTGAGAGGGAGAAAAGAAGTAAAAATTATACCAAAAAAAGGGGGCCGAGAGCACCCTTAATCTTTTAAAAAATAATTTTAATAAGTTAAGTGAAATATGTGTTCCTACAACTGTTGATTGTGTGGATTTCTCCAACTCTATACTCCAACCAAGCTTTTCTAAAGAGAAAAGAATTGAGTTTTTGCCACAAACTTTGATTTTCCGTTCCCTATACCTTAGCAACCCTATAATGTCGTAGACATAAGATATTTCAAACTATGAATGCTTTATGCTCAAATAGGCTAAGTTTTACACCATCAGGTTGCGAAAATACAGGTATTAGAAAATTTGAGTTTGTGGCAAAGACTCAATTCCTTTGCATTAAATACATACAGTTATGTTGCTTTCCATACCACCATTACTTTTCGTACATCAATAGCTAAAGAGAATTACAGATTGTCTTGTTGTCCGTGTAGGATTTCCTTTCCGTGTAGGATTTCCTTTCCGTGTAGGATTTCCTTTTCGTGTAGGATTTCCTTTCCGTGTAGGATTTCCTTTCCGTGTAGGATTTCCTTTCCGTATAGGATTTCCTTTTTGTTTTAATTGGAAAGGAATTGAGTTTTGGCCACAAACTCAAATCTTCTGATTGCAATATCAATGCAATCTTAGGGTGCAAACCTTTGATATTTCAAACTTAGATTATTTTGGTTAGAACCTTTTTATTCGAGAGCATAGGTTAGAACCTTTCCATTCGAGAGCATAGGTTAGAACCTTTTCATTCGAGAGCATAGGTTAGAACCTTTATCTATAAGTATTAATGGTTTGAAATATCTAAAGCCTATACGACATTGGGTTACAAAAATATAGAGATTAGAAAATCAGGGTTTGTGGCAAAAACTTTACTCCTTTATTAAGGCAATTTATTTCGGACCGGCGACTAACCTTTCCTGTAATCATGAGAGTAATCACAAACAAATAATTAGACCTGATCAGTGAATCCGTTTTGTTAGATACAAAAAATAATAGTCTAATAGATAACTATGGTTTCCGAATAATTACCTAATGTATCAGTTATATGTTGTCTGGCCTTCTTGCTTCCTGTTGTTTCAGGTACCCTTGTTATCAACAAAGGATCCAGCAAAGGCTGATTTTTTTAATATCAAAATAAAGATTACAATTTTCAAATTAAAAATAAAGAAAATTATCTTTAGATCTTTTGACTAAAATTTCAGAAATTTTATGAATAGAAATTTTTTGATAAAAAATTGACACTATTTGTTTAATTAATTACATGGAATATTTGATTGAGAAAATTTGAGGATTTGCGAGAAGTAGATGAACACAGTAGACCTAGTTGAACTACTTCTCTTTAACTTAAAGTTGTTGAACAACGTTCTACACAGTTCAATTGCATTTGCATGCTCTATTATGCACAAATGGTCTATATTTGATTACTGCACCATATTGTTTAAATCTATTAGGCTTTAATTTTGATAACTTTTTATCAATATAAAACTTAATCGAATAAAAAATTAGGTTATAGATTTGCATTGATTATATAAAAATGCAAAATATAGACAATATTAATTAATGTTAAACTTTGGAAGAAAAATTTTTCAGGTAGTATGGACTTCATATTTAATGTTTTAATTTTCATACTGTTCCTTAAAGTTTTCTGTTGAAGTATATTCGAACCCGCTGATTATTCCTGAGATAACTCTAGAATTCAGTTTCTAAAAAAACACTTGATTGTAAAATATTTATTAGATAAAACTTTATCAAAATGAAATACGGAATGAGATCAGAACGTGTGTGTGGAGTTTGATTTTCATATCCAGGGAGACTAAATGCTTGATCCCTTGCACGGTATGATCACCATGAGATATCAAAGAGGAATACCATTAATTCACAGATCTGCTTGATCCAAAATCAAAATAATTAATTGTGATTGCACATACACGGTGACCCACAAAGGATGAGACTTCAGAGACGACTGTAGGTAATTTTTACTGTCTGTTTCTATGTGATCATGATTTCCTGCAACTGTAAACTTTAAACATTAAAATACTATATTTAAGGCAGAAGACTTAAACTCGGATCGTTACATTTTAGGGGTTTCCAGTCGTCTTGGCAGTCTCGTCATTTGTTGGTTACCCTGTATAGACATGTACACATAATATAATTAATAGAAACGCCAACTGAGGGCTTTTCATCATCAGCCTTTGAGGATTTTTACAAATGTTTTGCCGATTTAATATATTCAAAGATAATGTTAAGATTAATATTTGAAACAATTTGGATTAGTTAAAATATCTGGCGTTTTGAAAAGATCAAAACATTCTAAACAAAACCATAATAGACAAACATACTAAATAAAACCATGAAAGACCAAAACATACTAAATTTAAACATGATAGACCAAAACATACTAAGTTAAACCATGATAGACAAAAACATACTAAACAAACGATGCTGGATCAATCCTTGCTAAACAAAACTTTACGAAACCAAACCGTACAAGATCAAAGACTAAACTAAACTATGCACACAACCTAACAAAAATAGTGTTAACATAGATTTAATAATATTCTCTACTAACCTTTTCTGAATGAAGATCTTTTTTCTCGTTCCAGCATTCCTTCTTTGGCCTAAAATTAGATACTTTTCATAATTAATTTTTTAACCTACATTGTTTATTAACTTTTTAATTGTCTAATTTTACTTAAACTTGAGTTTGCACAAAAAAAATACGTAGAAACAAAATAAATAATATAGTTTATCTAGATTTTCGAAATAAATAAACACTGTTTTTAAAGGGATTGATTAATCAATTAATTAATAAAATAAAGACGACTTTTCTTTTCACGTTTTGGTTTCTTAAAAGCTTTTTAAAATTACAAGTTTACAAGTAAACAAAGAGAAGCTGTTAATTCATGTTTTTGTCTATGCTGCTTCAAAGCTTAGTGGAAAGAGTGGAAATCAAAATTGAAATAGAAAGTCGTCTTCATTGTGTTGATATGTACGACGACGACTGTATTTTGAAGTACTCAAAATACCCTAGTTTGAGATTAGGAACAAAAGTCTATCTTATAACTTATCTTTTGAACATCTTACCCTTTTTCCTCTGTATTTGCAGCAAAGCACAAAAGGCTGAAATATGTAAACATTGAATAAATTTATTGATTTATGATATCTACTGAATATTTGACAACTATAATTGATATGCATATTCTATGTCTAACTCTTTACCAATTAAGCAAATATTTTTTTATATACAATTGATAACACTTTAAATATATGGAAATATATGGAAAAGTATAGATATGTAAATATATGGGATACAAAGTATATTTACTTTTAAAGTAGCATTTTTATTCCTTGAGAGCGAAGTTTACACATTTGATGGTGAATGTATAAAATAAAAATCTACCTGAAGATTGTAATATAAACTGATTTCATGGTTAACTTCTCTCTATCAAGTCAGGTCTGTCATTAATTCAAAATTTTATAATTTTAAATAGGACAATACAGTAATACAGCATGGCAGGGTGTACAAAGAATAAAGAACTACCAGCTGTGGAAACTAAACCAAAAGTATAAATAAAATATAATTTTGCAATTATGCAATTTTTTGCGATCCCCATGCACGAATAATAAATATCAATTAAAAACAAGATTTTATAGGTTTATGGAATTTACTATAGGATGTCACAGAATGTTATTTATATTTTGTAATACACATAATAAATAATCAAAAAAATGATTCATACATTATTTTTTTAATTACTAGTTTGGGAACCACATATGATTGAGGTCATTGGACTATTTAGAATTACTACTGTAAATACCTTGAAATTTATGTATTGCTAACAACATGAATCACATTCACAAACTGAGACATAACTTTGGTATATTCTGCGTAGACTGTTTTCTACTCTAATAGATAATTAGTTCAGGGATAAATTTACCTTAATAATTAATTTTAACTATTTTAAATTAAGCTAATTCTTTATTATTAATCTTTAATTCAAATTTAATTTTTTTTAATGTTAATTTTTTGAACATGTCCTAAATATATATACTGGTGGTAGTACAAGTGTTTGTATTGTAAACTATGTTATCTCTAATCTTTTAATAATCATAATCCCATCCTCCTCTTTTTAAAATACAAAATAAAAACACTTTTTTGTTGCGTAATATTTAGATGCAAATATATTTTTTATATTCATTAATCTACTTGTTTCATACTTATTAGTTTTTCTTTTTATTGGTCTAAAGTAAACACACAAAATGTTTAATTTGTTTATGTCCCTGCCAACGTGGTTCCAGAAAATAGACAACAAATTTAACAAATATTAAATCTACAAAACTATTTATGATTGAGGTTGAAGTTTTCGTCATGAAGACTAAATGTAAAACAAAAGAAACATTAAGACACTAAAATTTTTAATTAGCCAGAGCCCAGAACTTTTATATGAAATTAAGCTTTTCGACATGCAGCTCATCAACCCCAAAAGGAACGTTTAAACAATTTCTGAAAGGATTATAAATCGTAAAGTCCTAATTTTAACACACATGTCAGACCCGGTCACGTGAACACGAATATATATTTAGTATAATTGGCAATAGTAATTAGTATTGAACCTTCAAGAATTTATGAAAACAATATTCCACCCAAAACATGGACAAAAAAGGTCACACACGCCCTAGCTTCATAACAACCCCTTTGAGAGAGGGACTGTTATTATAGAAGTTGGAAGTTATAACAATCAAGTTATATCAAGGAAAGAAAGACAGATTAAGGAAAGGAAAATAGAATACAGTGGTAGGTGATTATATATCAATACAATGAAGACGACTTCCGATTTAAATTTTGATTTATGTCAAGCTGTTAAACAGCATTCCACACATTCTGTTGATACACACAAACATAGAAGTCAAAAGAATCTGTCTATTAAACAGCTTCTCTTTGATTACTTGTAAAGTAATGATTCGGAGAAAGCTTGTTAACAATCAAAACTTAATTAAAAAGCCGTCTTAATTGTATTTACCGCCATGAAAGAAAAGAAAAGGAGAATAGAAAGCTATAAGGGAAAGGAAGATCTGAGGAAATGAGAATAAAAATCTGTGAAGGGAAAGGAGAGGAAGATCTGAGGAAAGGAGAATATAAGAGTTTAAAAGGAAAAGGAAGGAAGATCTGAGAAATGAGAATAGAAAAGTATGAAAGAAAAGGAAAGGAAGATCTGAGGAAGAAGAATTGAATAAAATGGAAGGAAAATAATATCTAAGAAAGGAAATAGAACTGTATGAAAGGAAATGAAAGGAAGATCAGATAAAATGAAATGGAAATGAGAAAAAATGTCAAAAGAGTAAATCAATTTGATAAAAAATGAAATAGAATGAAATGGTTGATTATTCTTTAAAAGTAAGACGATCGAGGAAACTTCTCGTCTAAAAAATGATGGTGTCATGTATAATTAGAAAGGAATGTGAATATGAGTGTATAACAAATATGTATGTGTATCCCGGTATTCAGATAACCATATAGAAGATCAGTAAAAACAAAACAATCCAAACCAAACCCAATCTCTTATTTATCAAAACTTTATCAGCTGACACGTTGGTATGCAGAGCCACAAAAAATGCCTTGTAATTGATAAAAATAGTCTCCAAGGACACCTTTTTCACTGAATTGAACATCCCTCTAACCATCTATCTTTCTATTGGCTTTTCGTTTGAATTTAGATAAGATATTTTTCCACGCTATCAATCATACTCTTAACTCTAGCTAGCTAGAAACAAAGAATATTTTTTACAAGAAATCGTGTTATCTTGCAAGAGAAAGCGAGCAGTCTAGTCTAAAAAGAGGAAAGTCCAAAATTATTAGAAATATAGAATTATAATCTGAGAAATAGTCCGTCCCTCTCCGCCCGTCTCTAGTTTAGAGACGTTCATCTCTAGAAATAGAGAAAGCTATCTCTAGAAGTTAAGAAGGTCATCTCTAGAAATAGAGAAGTTTATCTCTAGAAATAAAGAAATATATTTCTAAAAAGAGATAAGTCTATCTCTAAAAATGGAATAGTCTATCTCTAAAGGTAAAGTTAGTCAATCTCTAAAAAAAGAAAAGTTAATCTCTAAAAATAGATAAGTCTAACTGAAGAAAAAAAGAAGTCTATCTGATGAAAGAGAGAAGTCTATCTGATGAAGTCTATCTCTAGAAGTAGAGAAGTTCATCTCTAGATTTAGAGAAGTTTATCTCTAAAAATAGAGAAGTTTATCTCTAGAAATATAGATGCGTATCTCAAAAACCAGAGAAGAATAGGGAAATCTATCTCTTGTCTAGAAATATAGATGCATATCTCTATAAAAAGGTCTCTACAAGTCTACACATTACATAAACAAAGATATGATCCCTAAAAATGAAGATCATGTCAAAATTATCATCGTTAAATAAGTTTTATCTCAAGTTTCAAGAATTAAAGTTTAACTTTTACAAAAAAAGTTTTTGCGCTTTCCTAAATTATACGTTAACAAGAAATTGCGAAGTTGGGACTACAGATATACCATGGGAAACTATTTTATAATATCAGGGTTTTGAAAAATATTGGTGGGGAGGGGGTTCAAGCAGTATGGAAGTTGAAGTTTAGTTTAGTTTAGTTTAGTTTAGTTTAGTTTGGTTCAGTTTAGTTCAGTTTAGTTCAGTTTAGTTTAGTTTAGTATAGTTTGGTTTAATTTAGTTTAATTTAGTTTAGTTTAGTTTAGTTTAGTTTAATATATTTAGTTTAAGTTGTCTTATTTAACCAAACGAGGGGGTTTTGTAATTACAAAATATCTCAATTATATTTACACATTTTTTGTTTTCTTATCAGTTAGGTTGAGTACCCTCTGGTTCAGTGTTTTTGCTCTTATATATTCAGTATTCATCCAACCATATCCAGATCTGTACACTGTACAGTTCTTATATTCATCCATATTCAGATCTGTACACAGTACAGTTCTTATATTCATCCAACCATATTCAGTTCTGTACACAGTACAGTTCTTATATTCATCCATACTCAGTCTTGTACACTGAGTTCTTATATTCATCCATATTCAGTCTTGTACACTGTACAGTTTCTATAATTATCCATATTTAGACCTGTACACTGTACAGTTATTATATTCATCCATATTCAGTCCTGTACACTGTACAGTTCCTATAATTATCCATATTTAGACCTGTACACTTTACAGTTCTTATATGTATCCATATTCAGTCCTGTACACTGTACAGTACCTATATTCAACCATATGCAGTCCAGTACATTGTACGATTCCGATATTTATCCAACTATATTTAGACCTGTTCAATGTACAGCTTCTATATTCATCCATATTCAGTCCTGTACAATCTACAATTCCTATATTAGACCATATTCAGTTCCAATATTCATCCAACCATATTCAGTTCTGCACACTGTACAGTTCCTATATTCAACCATATTCAGACCTGTACACTGTACAGTTCCTATATTCATCCAACCATATTCAGTTCTGTACACTTTACAGTTCCAATATTCATCCACCCACATTCAGTTCTGTAGACTGTATAGTTCCAATATTCATCCAACCATATTCAGTCCTGTATATTGTATAGTGTATAGTTCCTATATTCATCGATCCATATTCACATCTGTACACCGGATAGTTTCTATATTCATCAAACTAAGTTAGTTATGTACTCTGTACAGTTCCAATATTCATAAATATTCAGTCCTGTACAATTTACAGCTCCTATATTTATTTCACCATATTCAGACCTGTACACTGTACACTGTACAGTTCCTAACTTCATTCAACCATAAACAGACCTGTACACTGTACAGTTCCTATATTCATCCAATCATATTTAGACCTGTACACTGTACAGTTCCTATATTCATCCAACCATATTTAGACCTTTACACTGTACAGTTCCTATATTCATCCAACCATATTTAGACCTTTACACTGTACAGTTCCTATATTCAACCAAACATATTCAGACATGTACATTGGTACAAAGGTGCATTTACTAGGCCTTGTTTCAAATTCTTTGTTATACTTTTATATTAAGAAATTTAGAAACCAGATTTATAGGAACTGACCGTTGTATTCATGAAGCTCAATGGTTTAGTATTAATCAACACCTGAACAAAAAGTAAAAATTTCCACCATGAGACCATTATACAGCTCCCTCTTTCTACCCTCCCACTGATATTAACAAGGCTCCCCCCTGGGTGGCCGACTATCAATAAACATTCACAAGAAACGCCTAAACTACTTTTTGCATGCACAAACTGTTCTGTAAAATCTAGATCAAGAATCTCAAAATATAATTGACTGAGATTCATAAAACTGCATGGAATAGGAAAGCGACGGTCAGATTCAACTTTTAAAACTCAGGAATAATTGTGGAGTGTTAATCACTTGCTAAGTTTATTTGCCAGCTATTAATACAACTACTTGGTTTATAACAACATCATATTCTCATAGGAATGCTTAATGTCGTCTTCCTATTTCAGAGTTTTTTTTTTTTTTTTTTTTAACAAGGGTGTCGTTCAGAAAACAAATGAGCAGTGAATAACCGATATGGAACGTTCGAAGAACAAAATTTTCAATTTTTAAAAACGAATTTTAAAAAAACGAACGTTTTATTATTGTGCGAACTTACTTGAAAAAAACGATCGTTTTTTTAACTGAAAAAAAACGATTTTATTGAATGAACGATCATACTGAACGAACAATTTTACTGAACGAACGATTTTACTGAACGATCGTTCAGTGAGAAAACGAACGAAATAAATGGAAAATGTTAAGAACGAACGAAATGAAAATAAACCGAACGTGCCCATCTCTACAAATATGAGATTTTTTTAATTATTAATTAATTAATTTAATTAAATAATATTGTA